CTATTTCTGGTTTACAATGCCAAGTCGTGCCGTCTGTCCTTGTCTGGCTTTCTCCTTTTCTAAGCCATTCATTGCATCGTAGGTCGTCATTAAAGCGTACACGTACATTGCCATCGTGTTTTCCACTGTCGGTGCGTCTTTAGCCAGAATTAATGCTCAATTTATGTCTGGAAAGAGGCCTAAAAGTATGAGATTATTTTCCCAAATTAAAATTAAACAGATGAAAAGTTTTAAAACAAAAACCGTACTAATGTTTTCAAGTGAAAAACTAAAAAGCTGACAAAGTAAAAAAGGTGATTGCACTTGATGATCATGATTTGAATAGAATAAAAGTGAGATTAGTTTCTCATTAAACATGCAGCAACTGGGCAGTAATTTGGCACGCGGCCCTTGCTTACTGCACTCAAAAATTATCCTGCCTGTCAATTGTTCTTATCGAATTGCTTGTGTCATCATCATTCGAGCAGTAAATACAAGACATTATGATTTTGATGTGACTAAATATANTTATCGAATTGCTCGTGTCATCATCATTCGAGCAGTAAATACAAGACATTTTGATTTTGATGTGACTAAATATAGTGATAAATGTATCGAGACGACTATGATAGCATTAAGTAAGTGCTCTAAGTGTACCAAAACGAGGTTGAGAGACCTGAANAGCGATAAATGTATCGAGACGACTATGATAGCATTAAGTGAGTGCTTTAAGTGTACTAAAGTGCGGTTGAGAGACCTGATTGTCTCTACATTATCAGAGTGGAGCCGCGCAAATGCTTGCCCAAGCAAATACAATATGCCTACTGTTTTTCTCTCCACAAGCCATTTGATTGTCCTCAACTTTGTAAGACCCAGTCTGACCACAACTACTCAAACAAAGTTTATTCCCAACAATAAACACAATTTTATTTGGTCGCAAATTGGTTTCAAGTTGATGATTCAATTAATTCAACTTACTTTATTGGCAACTTTCGGACTGTACTTTGACTGTACTCGAGCTTTATCCAATTAGAATTCACTGGAAGCAGTCACTGGTACATCATGTCAGCACTGGTGCACAACTTCATCAGCGCAGCTGTGGTTGCACTAGTACCACTTCTTGTCAACACAGCTAAAATANAACTACTCAAACAAAGTTTATTCCCAACAATAAACACAATTTTATTTGGTCGCAAATTGGTTTCAAGTTGATGATTCAATTAATTCAACTTACTTTATTGGCAACTTTCGGACTGTACTTTGACTGTACTCGAGCTTTATCCAATTAGAATTCACTGGAAGCAGTCACTGGTACATCATGTCAGCACTGGTGCACAACTTCATCAGCGCAGCTGTGGTTGCACTAGTACCACTTCTTGTCAACACAGCTAAAATAATCGATAATGTACGGTGGAGTGACTGTCACACGACTGAGATTGTCAAGTGACTGTCAACTGGGCTGTGGCAGTGGGCTAGCCTAAACAAATCTGCTACCCTTTAGTTTGCAAAAGAGTACTAATTGTATTTTCTGATAAATCCCAAAAGTAATTAGCGCAAAAAGCATATTGACAAGATTATAATTGATCGGCACCAACAATCCCTGTATTAGCACACTAAAAAATTTTTGTTATAATTATAACGTACTTTACCAGTTTTTCTCAACTTCTAAAAATGACGTTTTTTAAAACATGTAAGAAAAAGAAAAACACGTTTTCCATCGATACCTTTGATGAATCTGATAGTTAAAGCTAGACTTGAAGTTTCTCTCTAATCAGTAGTCATGTGAACTTCGAATGAATCCAAAACCTGCTTTCTTTTAGTCGACAATTCAGCAATTTCATTTTGTTTAATTTAATTTGTGCTGTCAATGGTCATTGCAAAGTTTTTCCGCGCTGAAAAATGGAGTCTTAAATAGCATTTAGTTTTCCATGCAAGAATTAATTTGTGTAACTTTCTCTGACGTATGTAGACGACTGTGACTAAGACTGCATAGATAACATAGAGTGGCCAGCGGAGTGGCCAGTGGAGTGGCCAAGCTATTGCACTCTCTTGCCAATTGCTGTACAGTTTTCCATTGAGCTAACAAAGCGACACGAGTCAGGCGGAGGCCGTTCTGTCTTACTTGGAAGTGCGGCAGGAGCTGATTATCAAGCAGTTGCCAGTAACTTTATATTTAGCATTACAATAAAACTGCTGGTCATTGACCACCTTTTGTAGTAGTGCTTTTCGGTTGTCTATCAGATTGCGTTTTCCCGACAAAACAATATTCTCCATTTTGCTGTCAAATGTGTTTTTTAACTTCGGGTACATGACAATACGGTAATTTTCATGTTCAGGTCAACCACAATAACATTTGAAGCTCACTGTCTCGTAAATATCTCTTGAAAGCTGTCAATTGTAATCATAAGTGAGTGATAATATTTTTGTTAATAAAAAAAGTTTTTTTACACTTTGGTATCTGCCACTATAGTATAAGCTGATAGCGGGTAATAATATGGCCAAACAAATGTACTCCAAAAATGTACTTCAGAAACCTGAACCTTCTTCACAAAGGTCGCTTTGAGTCCATTCAGTCGAACATTTGGCAAACAATTTTCACGTTTTGCCGGCACTCGAGTTAATTGAAAGGCAAAGACAACCCTCTTTCATTGCGCCACTTCAATGGCCAAACGAAATTGCATTTGCCTCCCTAAGCTCACTCCAAATGGCACCACTGGGCACAGTTGGTTTAATTTATGGTCACAGTTTTGCCAGAACCAGCAAGCTCAGGTAAATTGCAAATTTGCATTCCGCACAAGTTCCGACCAACTTTGCATGCTCAGTGGTGCACTATTGGACAGATGAGCTACAGCAGCAGCAGCACAGGTCTTGAGCTCTCAATTGCACTGTAGCTCAATTTATCACTGTGACATTTATGTCTGCCGTCATTGTACTCGATGCTCACTGGAGTCTAGTGACCGAGATAGTTGGTCCCAAAGTTTCACTTTCCTCATTTCCTGATCGTCTTTTCTTGCCTCTGGCATCTTAGAAAGGGTGACCTTCAAAAACGAGTACTCGGTGCCATCGCGCGCCTTTCCTCCTAACACAAACACAAACACACGGCTCGAGCACTCTTCAGCAATTCTCTCTCTCTCTTTTCCCCGTCAGTTACAGACACAGACAAGCGCTCGCTCTCTTTTAGAAGACCAGTTGATCAAGTTTGTTGACCTTAACTGTGTGTGTGTGTCTGTCGCCTGATCAGGTGTGCTTTTCTCTCCACCTTTGGAGAGGGCACTGGATGAAGCAAGCAAGCGGCCTTCGTCGCCACCGGCAGTATCTAGCGGTAACTAACTATTGCTCACGAAGAAGAGGTCACACACAGTACCAGCAACCGCACCTAAACTACGACTACTTTTTGCGTTGCTGAGCTTGCATACCACTCGCAGCGGCACCGTCGGCAGACCGCTGCCAAACTGGAATTGATCAGGCTGAAAATTTTCTGGATTAGATTTCGAAGATCCTCAGTGGTGTCAAATATAGCAGTCAGTATTGATTCTCACACAGTACTGGTCGTTCCATTTATAGAAGTCACAAACAAGTCACGCTGGATACCTTTCCACTAATGATTCTCTGTGCGCTGCCTACCTGCCTGCTGCTGCTGCCGCTGACCCATTTGCGGGCTAGCAGTACAGTTTGATGCACATGGCCTCAGGCTATGGTCGAAATGACACTCTCTCGGGCAATTTGTCGCCCTCTCTCTCCCTCTCCCTCGCTCTATCTGGTCTATTGACATCCATTGGCAATGTGTCAGGTGACGACAGAGAGCACTGTTGTGACGCGTCATCAGTGCAGTTGGAGGTGATGCAAGGAGACGGTCAGTTTCAGCTTATCGAGAGTGGTACACGTGTCAGTCAGCTCCGAAGGATTGGAAGTTCTGTGAGTCACTGCGAACATGTGGTTGCATCAGGTGCGCATTAGGTACACTTCAGTAGGAGTTTTAAGTGAGTGAGTGAGTCAGTCAGGGCGTGAGGAAGTTGAGAGAATGTGTGGCGCGATTAGGCGGTGCGACGGTTGTGCCGCAGTGCAATTGTCGTTGCACTGTGTTCCAGCGCTCGTACTGCACTCGAGGGATGCAGCAACTGTGGCGGCAGTTGCAACGGCAACGGCAGCAGTTGCAGAAGCAGCCTCCTACACTATTGTTGCGCCACTATTGCAAGACGCCGAATGAGCCGTCGTCAGCCGTGAATATACACACACAGGTCGTTCAGTTACTTGACTCACACAGTTCGAGTGGTGAAGAGTGTACAACAGCTGCTGCTGCTGCTGCTTTGATTCCATAAGAATTTCAGAATGAATCCCCTCTTCTGACTTGTCGCACGCATGAGAGGAGAGAGAAGGGGGCGAAGTGGCTGCTAGTAGAGAGCGAGAGCAGTGGTCAGCGCAACTGTTAGCGCATCCACTGCAGTGGCTGCGGCGTCAGCTGTGCCTCCTGCCGCAGCGCATCGTTGGCTGCTCGCGTGTTGTGCCGTCACTGTAGGAACTGACATGGCGCGATTTTGTGATTGGTCGAGGAGTGGTCGTGGGCAGGACTAAAGGCCAAATTCAAACCACTGATGGATCACGGGCATGTGAACTGCCGTCGCCACACACTCAAGTTCAGTCCGTCATAACATACACTCCGCGTCAGTGATCTACCACTGAAACACTAATAAAATCATCGGTTTTGCATCGCTTTTACCGGCACCAGACCCGACTGACACGTTCTCTGAACGAGCCCACCTAAACACACTAACATCTTGAACTTTTCGCACACCTCTTTTCTTATCTGCCACTAATCTTTCACCCACCAGCGACACTCTCCCTTCGCCAAACAGTATAAAACATTCACCAGTTTCTCAGTCACCCTGCACTTTGGTTAGAGTTGGTTGCAAGTCAACACATTCGACTTCAGAATCTTCCCCTCATCCCATCATTGCATCACCCATCTGAACATCAAGTTCAATCACCTGTTCCACTCCCCCTGTTCCATCATCACCAGTAGAATGGGCTCCAACATAGCCGTATCAATTTTGATATTCATCATCAAAGTTGTAAGTATTTCTTTTGCATTTCTGTACCCATGAAACTAACAAGAAACTTGTTTGTTTACATTGCATAGGTCGTCACTTTGTACGATATCCTCACCATTCCAGTGTACTACTACGTTCAGAAGCCGTGGAAACGGCAAGCAGCTGCTCAGAGTGCTCGTGCTAAGCAGTTAGAGCCATCAAATGTATACGGCGCCTGGATGCGAACCACCCAGCCACCAAAGAGCTTAATTGACGGCTGTGAAAATGTAAACCAGCTATTTGACCGCGTCGTCGCCAAGTACGGCAACAAGCAAGCTTTCGGATACCGACCAGTTTTGGGCGAGTCAAATGATGTTCAATCAAATGGACGGGTCTTCAAGAAATACATCCTCGGCGATTACGTCTGGAACACCTACAACGAAATGCAAGAGCGCGTCAACAACTTGTCGTCTGGTTTCCTCCAACAAGGTAAGAGAGACATTCACTGTGACTTTTTTCACAAGCTAACCTTTGATTTTACTCCCACAGGCATCAAACACGGTGACATTGTCATGATCATGGCCGACACCTGTCTGCAGTGGATGATGTCTGCGCTGGCCCTTATGAAGATCGGCGCCACGGTGTCAACACTGTACGCCACTCTGGGCGAGGACGGCATTGTGCACGGCATCAACGAGACGGAGGTCACCCACATCATCACCACCCAGGATTTGCTGGGCAAGATGTTGGCTGTCCTATCAAAGACTCCACTGATCCGCCACATCATTTACATTGAGGGCTTCAGCAAGACTGACAAGGCGCAACAGTTCCCCACTGAGGTGAAGGTTGTTCCCTTCTCAAAGGTGGAGGAGCAAGGAAAATCGGTGCCGTTCCCGTCAATGTACCCCAAATCGAAGCCCAGCGACACTGCTATCCTCATGTACACCTCAGGAAGCACCGGGGTGCCCAAGGGCGTGATGCTGTCTCACCAGAACGTCCTCAGCTCTGCCGCCGCCTACAGCATCATCTCACATGCGCTCTCCGAGAAGGACTCCTACCTCGCCTACCTTCCACTCGCTCATGTGCTCGAGATGGCGTCAGAGTTCTTTTTCATGTCTCTCGGCATGAGCATCGGCTACGGATCACCTCTGACGATGACGGACAAGTCGACTGGCATCAAGAAGGGCTGTCCGGGAGACTTCTCTGTGCTGAAGCCATCCATCGCAACCGGTGTGCCCCTGGTGCTGGACCGAATTCGCAAGGGAATCACCGAGGAGATCGACAGCAAGGGCGCCTTTGCTAAGCAGCTCTTTGAGTTTGTCATCAGCTACAAGCGTCACTGGACCAAGCAAGGCTACCGCACTCCAATCGTCAACTTTCTGGTCTGCAATAAGATCAAGCAGATTCTCGGTGGCCGATTGCGCCTGATGGCTGTGGGTGGAGCGCCACTCGGCCCGGAGACTCACGAGTTCATCGACGCCTGCCTCGACATTGAGATCCTGCAAGGCTATGGCCTGACTGAGGTGGCCGCTGCTGGCACGCTCATGGACCTCACCGAGCTTTCCTCTGGCCGTGTGGGCGCCCCGCTGGGCGGCGTCCGTCTCAAGCTGGTCGACTGGCTGGAGGGCAATTACCGGGTCACTGATAAGCCCTATCCACGCGGCGAAATAGTGCTCGGCGGACCGAATGTCAGCAAGGGCTACTACAAGAATGACCAGCTCACCAAGGAGTCGTACTTTGACGAGGATGGCACTCGATGGTTCTACACTGGAGGTTTGTTTTTGACTTGTTTTGTTTGACTTACTTTGTACTTACTCTCTTTTACATTGCAGATATCGCAGAGATCTACCCGAACGGCACTGTCAAGATTGTAGATCGCCGAAAGGACCTGGTGAAGCTTCAATTTGGCGAGTACATTTCTCTTGGCAAAGTCGAAGCTGAACTCAAGTGCTCCACTTATGTCGACAATGTACGTCCTTCTTTTGCAAATATTACTCAATTCAAAAGTCTAACTTTAATTTCACTATTTTAGATTTGCGTAATTGGCGACTCATTCCACGACCATCTGATTGCCCTGATCGTGCCTAATCCCAAGGCGATTAGCCAGCTGGCCGCAAAGCTGGGCAAAGAGGGCATGAGCTACGAAGAGATGTGCCGAGATGCTGAAATCACCAAAGTAATCACCAAGGATATCATTGACTACTCGCTGAAACAAAGACTGAACAAGATGGAGATTCCAACGAAGATTAAGCTCTGCTCTGATGACTGGCTTCCCCAGTCTGGCCTCGTGACGGCAGCACTGAAGATTCGCCGAAAGAACATTCATGACTTTTACAAAACGGAAATTCGCTCTCTCTACGGAATCAACTCTGTCTCCAAGTCAACATAGAAAAACCAGCACTGAACGATGAACTTCAACACACCCACCCTCACCCACACACACACACACTGCTCTCCGACTGTGACCAACTCAACCCTGAACTCTCCTACTTGAAAGGGTGCCTCTCCCTCTCTCTCTCTCCTTGCCCCTCATATCTCATCCCTCTTCACCACTCATCACAACCACGCAATCTCCACCACCTTCTTCTTCCTTTGCCTCACACATCAGCCAGTGTGTGTAATGCCAAGCTTTAGTCATTTCATGTTTATTTATTATTACGTCAACGTTCTTCCACTTGGCGTTTTTATTCTTCCTCATCAACTCTTCCATTTAATGATTTTTAACAGCTGCGAGCTTTCTCCCTCTCTCGCTCTCCCCTATTCTTGTCTTTTACAAACGTTGTATATAATACATTGCAATGTCAAAGAGTCACTCTTCCTTCCACACATCACACACCTGTACAATATGATGTATTTATTTTTTCTTAACTTTGATTATCTGAAGAAGTCTTCATGTGATAACAATATACGCTAAATGTTACTATTTTTAAAATCGGTTTTATTTGTTTTATTCACTTTGCACTCTGGAAACTGAAGCTGATCCCTTATTTTCGGTCCATATTGTTCATGTATGGAGGGTTGTTTGCCTGATAACTCTGTGAGAGATAACTCTGGTACAGAGTGGGCAGACCTTGCAAGTGCTCCAAATTGTGTCCTGTTGAAAAAGAAAGTTCTGCTTAGTAAAAGTTTAATCAACTTTATCTGATTACAAACCTCCAAGTTGGGGGAAAGCGCCAGGTGGAAGCTGATGCATAGCAGGTGGTTGCTGAGAATGCTGTCCTAGGTTGTGCTTGAAATTGGAGTGATGCAGAAAGTGTTGATGGTGGGAAGACTGGCGGTCACTGCCTGACTGTCCTGAAATGACGCCGCCTGCAGTAGTTGGTGGGTGCAAGTTGATAGAAGGGCCAGCCGATGATATTGAAGATTGCTCGTGTGAGCGCTTGTACGACATTCGATGACGGTCACTTGTATAAGAAGTTGCACCAGAAGACGGGATCGGGATTATCGATGCCGCTGAAGACACTGAAGAGGCCATTGAAGTTAACGATAGAGGTGCTCCCGGATGTAACTGGTGTGGAGCTTTGTTGTTAGAGTAAATCGATACCGGGGGCTCTTGTTGAGATCGCTGGTTAATGATCTGAGGTTGTTGTCGCCCTTGTGAGTTCAACGAGGTTGGTGCATACGAAGTTGGAGTGGGAATACGGCCGTTTAACCGATGATGGCCAAGAGCCGATTGCTCTTGTCGAGACTGCTGTTCACGGGAAGCATTTGAGGAAGATGCACTCAAAATGTTAGGCGAGTTTGCCGATGTTGCCGCCGCTTGGCCGTGTTGCTGCGAGTAGAACATGGGCTGAATGGGGTGCAAGTGATGCAAGGTGCTGGGCAGAATGTTCGCATTACTATGAGAGCTACTGGGCATGATAGGTCCTGCATGACTTGACGGAACTGTCTGGTGCGGTGGACGTTGATTTGAGGTGTTAGCGGTATTGCTAGTCACCGGACCAAACGTCATGTTCAAGTTCTTTTGAGCTTCAGCTTCTCGAATTCTCTGATTTGTTTTTCGAATTTCATCTTCGCCCAGTATCTTCTTAAATTCAGTAAACAGTCTATGCTTTTCCGCTTTAAGATCTTCCAGTCTGGCCTGGCTCTTAATGATCTCCTCCTTCACCTCACTAAGAGTTGACTTGTCCCGTCTATGTTTGAGCTCCTTTTCCCTACGAGCACGCTTCAGCTCTTCACTCATTTCCATCTCTGCAAAAAACAGGTGTAAGAATTTACTAAGCAAAAAGTCATTTAAAAATACCTTGTTTCTTCTTTTCATTTTGCCGCTCAATGTGAATCCGCAAGTTCTCGTACATTTCCACATTGCGAGCCTTTTCAATTTGGAAAGATCGCGTCTGCACGACAAAGTGATGCAGATGTGAATTGTTTTGGTGTTTGTCAACAATGGAAAGAGACATTTCTCCCGATTGGATAATCTGAATCGGATTCAGCAAAAGATTATTCTTCAAAAGAATGGAAAAGAGTATCTTCGTGGATGAAAAAATAATAAACAAAAAAATCTTGCTCAGCTCGTCGATATCGACCCAAACGAGTCAGCCATGTGGCAGTAGTCGCGCCAAAAATATTTATTTTGGTTTGTCAAAATGCTTCATCGCTCCAATTGGGAGCCACTTTCAATGGATTGTGTTGATTGTTGTCTGCTTGTCTACCCTGCACACCTGGCGCCCGCCTCAGCCAACGCCCGAGTGACCAACACTTGATCCGACACTTGGCACTGCAACCGACGATCCCCTCTGCAACTTACTCAACCATCCTCCGACCCAAATATTTCTCCAAATAGAGACCACGTTTGGCTTCAAAATAAAACATCTCTCAAAATCGCTTTCCCTCCAACTGCCTCATTTTGCACCACACACTCTTGATCTAATTTCATGTCATAATTTTGCCTCCTTGTGGTTGCGCCAATTTGGCGTAAAGACAGAAAAAGATTTCTACGACGTCCGCATCAGTTTTCGACCATAAAATCACTCCCACTTCAAGCATCACCAGTGTGAAAAAAGTATGAGTCGCCATCAACCGAAACCTTCCATTGAAAAGGCAATTGGTTGAAATGAGTTTTCACGGCAAACAACATTTTTAAAAAGAAGATTGAAAAGTGCATAACGCCGCCACATTAGACAGGCACCAATACCAATTTTTCTTTGCCTAATTTTTTAGCCTCATCAACTAGCTATTAATAATGGCAGTTGGGGGAACGCTAATTAGCACCACAGCAGCAACATCATCACGGCGTTCGCATTTTGGGCTCCCTTCTTCCCGCCTGGTTGCCTGACTTAGCAGTTACGTCGACTGTTAATTTAGTGAAAGGCCTCACGATACCATTGCATCCTAACATCAATCCCCAGTGCCTGCTATTTGCTATTTGTTGACTCACCAACTGTCACACATCCTTGAAAGAAGGCAGCTTTCTGCCGCATCTCACTTGAAAGAGTGCAGCAGCGGCACCACTTCCAATTGCATCCCTTGCCAGTCCAGCCTCTCTCAGCTGCAGCTTTCAGTATTCAGTATTGACCACTCACGTAACATCTCCACTTGGTAGTTCAATCCCTTCTTTCACTCGTCAACGTAATCGCCATCATCAAAGGCAACAGCTTTCATTTCTCCGCTCCTTCTCCCTCCTCTTTCTCTCTCCCTCTCTCTCAATGGGCTTGAACGTCCACTTGCGACTGAAAACTCACTTTCTCATCGCAGCCACAACACTCACAGCACACTCCACCACCACCACCACCACCACTGGACAGCTTGCAATCGAGCAGATCTATTAAGCGCAGTCGAAGACGGCGCCGTCCTCGAGACGATTACGGGCAGCTTATGGTGTCTCCGCCGATCTTCTCTATCTCTGCTGTGCCACTACGACTCGTCAAGTTTTTTTTCTTCATGTAGCCCTTCTTCCACTTTTCTCTTTGGATGCTGTTATTATTATTATTGCCGCAATCTGACTGATACTACTCGATTGAATAGGTCCAACACTCTACAGCACTCACAACGCCGTGTCCCTTCTGGTCATACTTGTACTTCTTCCATGATATATTTATATTTGTCTATATCAAGGAGAGACTTTACTCACTTCCTACACTGAGACGAGTGGCACTAAATCAGTCGTAACTGCTTATGCAAGATCAGCAGTGCAAAAATACTCAGCACACACTGCACAGTGAACAGACATTCGGCGCACGAGTCAGTTTTGAAGGAAGCACACACCGACACTTCTCTCAAATCAATTACCGCTTCTTTTTTTTCCACCGCGTCAAGTGTCTCTACATTGCTTGAAATCCACCAGCTCTTCTTGCTGTCTTCATCACTTTTCTCTTCATCTCTCACAAAGTCAACTGCATCACCACCACCACCACCACGTTTCGAGTACTTTGTGGACTTTCGTCCGCACTTTTGTTTACTTCGATTGTTTCGTTTGCATTTTTGCTGTTGAAGATGTAAATGTTCCTTTCTCTTCCTGAACTGTAAACTCTCGGATGTTCTAGGAAATTTATCTGGCAACTCAAAGTGCATCATCCCCTTCACTTATCATTGCACATTGACATCATTACGAACACTTTGTCAACTCACTCATATCTCATCAGATTGTATTCAGCTATAGAAGTACTTACATGTTATGTTTTATTGGCTGCACTTTATTTTATCTGGATGATAATTTATCCTCCATTTGAATTGAACCGGTTATGACGGATGCGCAAACACACCGCTGAGATGCTTGTGCTTCACCGAAATCGTGATGGAAAAAAAGCTTTCAAAGCACCAAGGATCACTTTTTCGTACATGCTGATGCATGCACCACAACACTGAGGTCATTGTTACAGTCCTGCCTCATTAATTAACCACCTCAACTCGCCACAGCCGCCGTCGTTAATTAATAGTCCACTTTGAAGAGCAAGTTCGTCTGCCGACAGCAGATTCCCTCACTTTTAGTTTTTCGCCTACTCTGATTTCTAAATCGGACATCAGTGCATCAGTGCATCACTGTTCAGTTGCCCTCTTCCAGTTGCTACTCTATATGCGTCTGAAAGTCGGCGGTGTCACTGGTGTCGCCTCTGAGATCAACGGCAAATATGGTGCTAAAGCCAACGATGGCCGTCAAGCAGTACTACCAACAGGAGCAGGCCAAGAAGCGTCAGTCAATTGATAACTCAATGATACGATTTCCTAAATTGGACGAATGTGCACATTTTCACTTTGAGTACGCTGAACTGGTAAGTGCCGCCGTCTTTTTACTGCTATTTGCCTTGCATCTTCTCTTCTTTCTATTTTTAGTGTCTTTCTTTCGGACCACTGTAGCCTCTCTTTCTTTCTATTGTGTTCCGGTCAGGCGCACGCGACTTTCCTCCTTTGATTAATAGCATGTTTGTTTTGGCAGAGTTTTGTGTGTTTATGAGCCTCTTCTTTTCTTATTTATTTCTCCTCTAGAATAACTTTCACGTATCGCTGATAATTAACGAAAATGGTGCCAGCCGCCAAGCAAGCAACGACGAGGCGACGGCGGCCGACAACTGCCTCACAACAAACATTCGCAATCTGTATCTGTTTGTGCGTGTGCAAAGTCAAAACAACCGAAGTTGGACAATTCGCCGAAACTTGCAGGATTTTCGCTTCCTCGACATTCAACTGCACAAGTGCGTCTTTGATCGGAAGCACTCCAAGCTGCAGCCACTTAATTTGACTTACTTCTCATCCTCTGACTCTCTCGTAAGTGTTCCATACCATCATCTGTTGCTCTAACACTGTTGCACTCGGCGCACTGAATTGATGCTCTGCCACCAATTGGTGTTCTGATTTACGATTTCTGCACACCCGCCCGGTGGCAGACAGACAGGCATTCGCGCGCAGGCTTTCTGCACCCAGCTTTTGAAAACACACTCCATTAATCTATAGATTGATGGGTTTTTACGTTCGCACACACATACTCTACTCTACTATTTCGTTATTTTTTCACACTCAACAGGAGTCAATACTGCATTTTGTGGCTCAATATTTGGAGAGACTGTCGCAGATTGTCGGCGGCTGCTTTCTCACATGTGGACCCATTCTGCACTGGTTCGAGATTGATAATCGTGGCAATCGCTTGATAAACGAGGTTCGTACTTAGCTAAGCTCACTAATAACTGTTTTTGGCATTTGTTTATACAACAATTAATACATTGTTTCTCATTGGCGCAGGAGTCTGATATCAATACGCCCGCAATTGGAGCTGCATTTGTGATAAAAAAGCACAACAAAAATGAAGTGGAAACGGAAATTTCTCTTGAAATTGGAGAACTCGTTTCGGTGGTATGTTTTGCCGGCGCGTGTGTGTAGATTAATCATTCTAAGTGTGCACTCTGTTTGCATTGTTTCAGATTGAAATGCCCCCTGTTAATGAGTCCTTCTATTGGAAAGGAAAGAAAGGCTTTGAGGTTGGTATTATAATTTAATTTAATTACTCTTGCATGAGAAATTTATTATAGCTTTAACCACATAATCACCTGTTCTCCACAATACAGACTGGCTGGTTTCCTGCGCAGTGTGTGCAATTAATTGACGATAAAATATCAAAACGCAAAACGGAAGAGTTACCGCTACGACCACTTGAAAAGTGCATTTCACCTACTTTGAGAGCTCACGATTCAAACTCATCAGCACATTTAGAAGAGACATTTGCACATTCAAACCACATCGACCTTCATCATCCTCACTATCGACAGTCGTCAGTGATGCGTAAGCACGGACTCATCGCTGCGCTGTTTCGGTCCTTTGCTAGTAACAACAAGCGAAGAGACCAACTGAGAAGTTCGGGCATATTGAAGGAGCGCGTCTTTGGGTGTGACCTGTGCGAGCACCTGGCCAACTCGGGCCATGATTTGCCGCTGGTACTCACCGCCTGTTGTGCCTACATTGAAGCGCATGGCCTCTCTTCCAACGGCATCTACCGACTCTCCGGAGTGGCCTCCACCATCCACCGCCTTCGAGCCATATTCGACGAGGACCGCGTTCCTGAAGAGCTTCACCAAAAGGAAGAGGATCTCGTCACGTCGACCGATTCTACCGGCGACATTGTGGACTCTGCAGGGGTGGACATTCACGCCGTCAGCTCACTGCTGAAACTGTTTTTCCGCGAACTTCCCAATCCACTGCTCACATTTTCCCTGTACGATAATTTTGTTGCTTCAATGCGTGATGAAACAATGGACGACAGTACTCGACTGCAATCCATTCGCACGCTCGTCATCTCTCTACCTCCTCCTCACTGGCGAACGCTGCGATTCTTGACCAGGCACCTCTCGTACGTGTCCAAGTTTGAGAGCAAAACGGGTATGACGCCGAAGAATCTGGCCATTGTCTGGGCGCCCAACCTGCTTCGATCTCGTGATCTCGACCAGCACGTCGGCATTGAAGCTCTTCACGTCAT